AATAAATGCTATCATCATTTAACTGACTTCCCTCTTTTCTCCCACTTACCCATTATCAAGATGAGTATATACTTGTATAAAACATAAACCAGAATGTTTTCCTACACTGTGAACACCCTTCAGGTGTTTCCTATCACATTTTTAATAAATAGAAAACACCTACATATGTCCCTACATATTCTGACCCCTTGTACTTCCTCTCAGACATATTACATGGATATCACACACACACACACACACACACACACACACACCATATTCATCATCATGTAAACACTCACACATCAATGTCTGGATCCTTCCAATATATCAGATTCCAATTTAAATGTCGTCTCTTAGAAAAGCCTGTTCTTTTAAATAGCTCCCTATCCCCACTCATTGCTTTCTGTCATTGCCTCAAATTTGTTTCCCCGTGGCCCTTACCCCAAGTTGTACTTCTGGATATTATGTTCACTAATTCACAGTGTGCCTCACTGGTCAAACTGTAAGCTCCGTTGAGGCCTACGTTCAATTATCCACCTCTGTGTGCTCAGCACCTAGTACGATGGCTGGTATGCAGCAGTGAATACTTCTGCAAGAATGCATGCCCAAATGAATGAATCAATGAATTTGTCCTTTTCTAGCAGCTATTCCAGAAAAACTGGTCAGGTTTTTCAGAATCTTTCTTGTCATTTATAGTCCTATTCAGATAATTCTCGGGGAAAAAAAAAATCATATTGCAAAGTGTGATAATGAAACATCATTTTACATCATTATCAGTATCATGCCAAAATCATCTTCATAATTAATAGGCTCATAAACATTCCAGGGTGGTAATGAAGTTAACTCCAAAAAGTTTATAACAACTTATAATTCCAAAAAGGCCAGTGTGAGAGAAATGAATCATAGTTTTCACCCATTTCTACAATGTTATATATTTTCTCCAGGTGATAGCTGTTTCATTACAAGGAAAAGCAACTTTTAATTTTTTTAACCATTATCAGCTCATCAAGTGCCAAGAGAGTTATTTCTTCAAAAATATCATTTTGTGAAATAAAGAGAGGAAGAATATCCCTGTTTCTTTGATCTACGGCTTAGGTAAAGAACACCACTAACTACATTTAAGTATGCCTTGTGGGTACTTCAAATTGCCACGTTTTTTATCACTTTGCTTGATTGAGCCAAGTCTGTGCAATTCAAGGCCTTCAAAAACCTTCTCTCACTATATGAGTTTCATCTTATAAAATATTTTCTACCTCTTCGTGATAGATATACCTTGGATAGCCTCTTTCAACTTCCATTTTAATCTCTTTCCGGTTGGAAAAAATGGAATGCCAAAAATGTGCATCTTCCAGATTCACTTGCCATGGATCAAATTCTACCAATTAGATGCAGGAGATTGAACAGCAGAAATGTTTTGACGAAGGTTCCTTGGGTGTGAGTCAGTTTGCTGAGACAACTTTGGTGACTGAAGCAGCTTCCTGCCTGGCTGATATGGCCTGGTCTCAGCAGTCCAGGAGTAGCCTCTTGTCTCCTGTCCTCCCACCGCTGGCATATGCATCCACTCTCCTGCACAAAAGCTTGTCCTAACTTGAGTGAAGTCTTATGTCTAACACCGAAGTCTGCTATAAGCATAGGGAGATGGTTTTAAACATTTTAATTTCTTTTTCTGGTGGCTTTTTTCATGGTATTCAGGCTGAAATATACCTCACAACACTAAAAATATCCTGGTGACTTTTTTCCCCCCATTTCATGCAGTGTTTTTTTATTTTTTTTATTTTATTTATTATTTTTTTAATTTTTATTTATTTATGATAGTCACAGAGAGAGAGAGAGAGAGAGAGAGAGAGGCAGAGAGAGAAGCAGGCTCCATGCACCGGGAGCCCGACGTGGGATTCGATCCCGGGTCTCCAGGATCGTGCCCTGGGCCAAAGGCAGGCGCCAAACCGCTATGCCACCCAGGGCTCCCCTCATGCAGTGTTTTTTAAGTGGCAGATATTTGTTTCACCAGGATCATTTAAAATATATACAAAGCAAGAGATTATTATAATGAACCCTGATTCACCAATTACCCAGGTTCAACCATTATTAATTTGTGAGCTGGCAATTTTATATCATGTAAAATCCCACCCACATTTTCCTTAGCGTAGATCATTTGTAAAGTGTGATTTACCAGTTTCAGGCAGTAGAGGCTCATTTATCATAGAATTTAAGTCTTAGATTCATTTGCATTTACATAATTATAAAATATAAAGGTAATAAAATAAAATAACAATATAAAATATAAGTAACTTTATATGTTATATAAATGTAAATAATATAAAAGTCAACATAAATATAATAAATTATCACAATAAAACCCATATGCATCAAAGGCATATCTTACACATTGTAAATTTTCTACTCTTTGGGGCTAGAGTAGTGACATCATATATTTTGCCATATTCCTCCAACTATTTTAGGAAGAAATGACATATGTGCCCCAGCTCTTTAAGATTTCTAGTTATTTTCAATTTCTCTCATTATCTCTGGAAATCACTGCTTTCACGTTTCAAACTGGCTGTTTTTAAACCATATTGCCTCTCACGTGAAAATACAGTTGGAGAATTAGCAAACTCTAAAAAGAAACAAGAGTTAAAAACCAGCATTAATTGACTCTCTGCTGCTCTCTCTCTGTCTCTCTCTCACACACACACACATACACACACACACACTATTTTGAATATTTGGGGGTTAAGAGCTTGTAAAAAAACAAATTATACATATTTCCATTAGGAAATTGAACCAATTTCTAAGAGCTGACAGTATTTTGTGTAATCAAAAGTAAAAATGGGGCAGCCTGGGTGGCTCGGAGGTTTAAGCGCCTGCCTTTGGCCCAGGGCGTGACCCCGGAGTCCCGGGATCGAGTCCCACATCAGGCTCCCTGCATGGAGCCTGCCTCTCTCTTTCTTTCTATCATGAATAAATAAATAAAATCTTTTTAAAAAAAAAAGTAAAAATGACCAACACACACACAGAAAACTGGCTCCAAGAAGGCCAAGGTTGTTTTTCAAGACCAGCTGAGCAGTCCTTCCCAAGTGTGCTGAGCAACCACCCAGGCAGTTCTCTGTTTTAGTGGATGGGCACATGAGCACCAGCCTTGCAGGAAGGGAATGGATGAACGCTGACCTTGTGGGAAGAAGTATTGGCATAATCAGTTGTCTTGCCAGTGTTACGCCACCTGGCTTTGACATGACATGGTTGGTAAAACCAATGGCCCAGAAAAGAGAACCATCTTTCCCTTTAGCACCCAATCGTGTCACACACGAATTTCTCACTATCATCATATCGTCAGAATTGCATTTTCCCTTTCTCATGATCAGATACATATTTCACTAGGGACATGAGGAAAGTTTTAAGTCACACAAAATGAATGAGTGTTCAATAAAACACAACTGACTCTACAATAATACATCCATAATAATAAAAATATGAATGCAAGGTATTTGGCAATCAGACCCACAGAAAACCTAGAGGTCTCTTCCTGAGCATTTCATGAGTCATATACCATCAGGCAACTCTTAAAATTTTATATTTCTTTTTACCCTTTGTACAGAATAATGTTCAGGATTTCCTGCAATTTCTATTTGCTACTTTCTAGTATCCAGTTTGGCCTCCTACAGTCCCTTTTCAGGACCCTTCCCCATCACCTTTTTTCCCCCACAGAGGCTAGATACTCCCTAGGAAGAGAAAGGTTTTCACTGACGCCATACAGTCCTGCTCTCTCCACACAAGAGCCTACTTTGAAACTCTCTTCAACCTCTCCTTCATTGAAGTTTTTTTTTTTTTCCCTTCATTGAAGTTTATCTACGTCCTCATTTTCTAAGGCATTGTTCCCAACCTATTATTACACAGAGAAGATCTGGAAATCTCATCCACTTTAAGTGTTAATAACTGAGAAGAATTAGTTTGTTACCCCGCACACACAGGCCCTAGGAGATTTGCATTTTAATGGAGGACAATGCCTTCATAACTCAAAGGAATGGAATATCTCTAATGGTGGAATTTCAAGCATCACTGACACCAGCAGGGGAAATATTTGGGGGGTGAGAACACTTAACACCAAACCATAATATCTCATGTTATAAGACAACTATCTTTTTCACCTAGACTTAGGCTTAACCTGAACAGAAGCCAGTATTCATCTTCGAACGAGAATTAAAACACAACTAAATATAAAGCAAAAATCTAAGTTGTCGAACAATTATATTTCTTCACAGGCTGCATGAGTCTCTCTGAGCCTCTTAGCTTGACAAGGCGGTGTTATTCTGCTATGTAGCTCTTCTCCGTTTCATTATGTCTTCCCTAGGATGGCCTTGAAAGTTCTCATCAGCTTCACTAAATGTTAGACAGGCTTCTTTCTGACCTTAGGCTCTGGCCCTCCCTTTACCAAGAGCATTTACCTCAGAAGACTTGTCATTGTAAATTCTTTCTCTGCTCCTTTGAGACATAAATCTTTTTCAGATCCTCTTTCCAGTGTTCTAACTCGAGAATACCTTTCTCAGGGATGAGGGAGCCATCCCTTTGAAATGTAATCATGGAGAACCGCAGCACCCCCATCGCCCAGTTTCTGGATAGCAAGAATCTAAGTCCTGTGGGTACCTGGGTCAGAGTTGTAACACTACACTCCTTGCCATTAAGTCACTGAGTTAAGAAAATAAGTTTACTTTTGCTTTGAGGAGGCCAATTAGCACACACAGGTGGCTGGCAACCCTCTGCCCCCTCACAGCTCTTTAAAACCCTCCTGCTTTTTATTTCAGTGAAATTGAGTTCAGAGTGAGTTGTAACCTCTCTCCTCTATTACAGCAGCCATGAATAAAAGCTTCCTTGTCTGCTTAGTTTTGTCTCTTGCCATGTTTGCTTTGATGGCCTGCACATGGGCAGATTTCGGTACCTATTTCCACTTTGTCTACCTCCCCCTGAGATCCCCTCATGGATTAGTGTTGTTAACACAACCTGACTGAGGACACAAAGTACAATACCTTTTTTTTTCACATCAGTGGCAGTGTCCTTGTCCGTCTTCTTTTTGACATCTTCTTTTTCTGATAGTAAAATGAGAACATTATAGGATTCGATCTGTTTCATTCTCACATATGTCAGGGTACACCCAACTGCCATCATGGCATTCAACTCATCTTATACAGAGGAATCTTAAATCATGGCCATCGTCATGTCAAATATGAGGAAACCAGAACCTTCATTATGGAATAGTGGCTTTGGTGTGTTTTCTCTTCAGAAAGGGAGAAAATTTTTGCTAAGCTCAAAAAAAAAAAAATCCTCATGCCAATGGAAACATTAAACATCATTATTAATTATGGAATATTTCAATAAGTTTTTCATAAAGGACATTAAAAGGAATATAATGAAAGTTCTCTGGGCTATCAGGCCACTGGAAGCTTGTCAGAAGCTCAGGAATCTCCAGAGCTCACTTGGGACTTCAGATGCACTATGTGAAAACGACCCTCTAAAAGTAACAAAACATGTCAAACCAATCAACTATTTTTTTTCCCTTATACAATAATTGCCCTTTTGATAGATCTTTTTTATTAACCTGAGTAAATAGGAATTTTCGTTTTTGTATTTGCAGTCCAAGGAATTACTGAATTAGAATTGAGCACCAGTCCTCAGGAAGAAAAAAATACAATCAGTAATAATTTGTAAAAATACTCTTTTTAAAAATGTGTCAATTTCAACTTCATTTCAAATATTGATAAATTTCAGGAACGGTTGTTAATAACAATAAAATTATTAATTATTATTCATTTTTGCCTAGAAAACAAGAGCTTTCCCAGTAGTGTTAACAAAGGGTTACCAACTGACTTCTGCGTTAGTTTTTAAATTACTCACCTTTCTTTTTTGTTTCAGAAGTTACTTTCTTCTCAGCTTTCTTCTTTTCCTCCTCTTCTTTTCCTAGAGAAGAAAATTTAGTACAGAAGAAAAACCAAGATTTGAATGAAGGATGACTATTAAGGCAATTCTGCCTCCAGACAGCTTTATGACGTTGAGCAAGTGATTTAATCTTTCTAAGCCTTATTTTCCTCATTTGTAAAATAACAGTACTTCCCTCAGAGTGAGCTAATGTTTACAAAGCACTACACACAGTGCCTGGCTCACAGTAAATGCATAAAATTGTAGGTTGCTAATATTGTTTATAAATAATGAACGAGATAGTGTGAGCTTTCCCAACCCAACAATTGTTTGGTGCCTAAAGTAAGATAGTACATGAAATTAAAATCTCATTTCTGAGGAAAGTACAGCAGGTAAGCCAGGAGAATGACTTTTTTTGTTTTCTTTTCATATGTTAAATCTCATTAGAAATAATACACCAGGGCCATTAACGATATCTATTTTGACTTAACTGTTTTTCAAATCTGCTTCTCATCAGCAGGCATTTGGAGCTTGGTGACATCTGTCTGGCAGTCATGTTGGGGACATAGCTTCCACTGCCCTTTCCGAGTGGTTGTATCAACGGGAATGCTCACACTTCTTGCACCCAGGGGTTCTGGTAAGTCTGGGTGCCACATAGAATGGCATGTGGTGCCTCTAGACTTCTTCATGGAAGATTTCTTCTTCAGAGATCTGAGAAAATCTTGGTCTGACAGCAGACGGAACCTTAAATGCCTACCTGTAGCCCCCTAACAACTGGACAACAACTGGTAAGTGAGCGAAGTCACATAATACAGAATTTTTGAAATGGAATATTCATCGTTTTTAGGTTTAAGTAGGGTTAATGATAGCAATCAACTAATTTTAATTCTCAATGAGGAGTGCTATTTACCTTATATCTGAAACAGTTTTCTCTTTGTCATTTGCACTCTCACCACAAGTATAGATGCCAAGCTTTCAAAGATTTTCATTACCCAGAACTTAATATTAAGAGATTGCTTCTATGCTGAAGAAATTCAATGCATAGTTCTAGTGTGAATGCTGAAGTTGTCTACTAATGATTGCATCTTATTAAATGTAGGAATTAATTCATTCCCTTAGGTATAGAGATTTTTTTTTTTTTTTTTACCTACAAGATCAAAGACAACACTTTCAGTGTTAGAAGTATGATTTGTAAAGAACCCCTTCTCATGACTCTTGGAGATAAGCTCGTGTTGTAGGGAGAAATATATTCACACTCTGTCTAAATGTGTTTGCGGTGTACCATTAGGGCTCATCCAATAGAAGGAGAAAGTCAAGAAGTCCAATTCTGATAGTTCCAGAGTTAGATAGAAACCAATTCAGTTCCACTTTGCCTTTTCCTAAAGGTTTATGCATATTAAATATGTAAATCGTGTTTCAAATTCTGAATAAAGATACTTTTCATTTAAGTATCATTATTTTCAGCTTGTCTGGGAGTAATTTTACATAGCAGGGCATTTTCCATCTTATCTAAAAAAAATGCACATGTGCATTTGAGTTGAATTGACAATCGAATTGGCATTTGTTAAACATTTGTGCCAGAACACGGGTTAATTAAAATACAGATTACTTGTAAATATGTCTTAGCCCATATCAAATATCAACGCTGTAGTCACAATAAGATCACAACTCACTCTCCAAGGCTCTCAGTTTCATAATGCAAATGAGTAAGTATTTCATTTAGAAGTTCATGCCAATTAGTCCATCTTACATTGAACTTCAGAATGAGAGTAGATATTTGAGGTCACGAGACAGAAGACATTCTTTTCTTTTTTTTTTTTTTTAAGAGAATACCCTTGTGCAGTAAATCCTACCCTTTAAATTAATATAACTGGAGTTTTATTGTGGTGATACAGTATTCTTGCCTTAGTTCAGATTGAATTAATGCTTCCATTTACATTGTGACGGTGATTATGGCCATACACTGAGAGAGTCATGAATAAAAGCAGAAGTCCACAAAAAGCAGGTATAAATAATGTACTTTAATAACATTTTTATGAATTAGACCTTTAAGCTGTCATTATGGGGCCTACTTTATTCATGGCGAATTCATTTAAAACATCAGCTTCTGAAGATTCTGCGTTTCCTCAAGCACTATTGTCTCTGTTCCGCAGGTGATTTGGCAGCAGCGGAATTAGTGGAATTATAAAAGACACAACAAATTCATTATATCCTACTTGGAAATAAAAGTAACCCACGTTTCTTCTAGGACAACTCTCCTTCCCCTGACCGTTTTCTCCCTCAACAGTCCACACTACACTTCCCTTTCCACCTGACTATGCACCCCAATATTTAATTTCCTCCTCACCCTGTCTTCCAAATCGTTTGCTGTTTTGTTTGTGACACCTAGAGAAGAGTTAGAGCATTTAATGCCATTGGCGTTCAGAGGGGTAGCAATTAAATATGTCTGTAGCATGTGAACCTATCAATGCTTTGCCTTTCTCTGGCAAAAGTGTCACACACCCTAGAATGATGGCTCTATCTGGCAGGGATCACAGGGAAGGCTGGTTGAGAGAGAAATCCTCTCCACAATGAGCAGCTCCGAGCCACAAATATGTTATTAGCTTCTGCATAAATTAACATCAGATGAAAGAAAAATTAAATGACTTACTTTTTACTTTCTAAGCCCTTACAATGGGCTTTTCTCTTGCTTTTGAACATTTTTATGCCTTCTCAAAGCCAGAGAATGAACAATAGTTAATTATCATCGTAAAGCTTTCTAAGATGCCTGTTCCCAGCAAAAAACGGGAAAACAAATGCAAATGTTTAATTTTCATCTTATGTTGCATTAGTCGCCTCTTTTCCTTTCTACTGTAGAGATTATCCAAATTTTACACGTCAGACGGGGGCTTCTCTTCTAAACCTGTCCAGCCACGGTTGATGTATTCTTGGTCCCAGTCAAGTAAATAAGGGTGTGTTTCTTCCCTAACAATGTGCTCCAGCACATCTTGTCACTGCCACCTTATTTCTCTAGAGTGCCAGAGGTTGGCTTGGCAGTCCACTCATAGCGTGATCATGGGAAACTTCACACAAGCAGATAAATTCAATGACACCAGTGATTATTGCAGTTCTCCATCGTTATCTTACAGAGGCACGAGGCAAGAGAGAAAGCACGGGTGCTGGCATGAGTGACCTTGGTCTAAATTCTGTGCCTGACCCTTTCTGGTTGTGGAGAATTGAGCAATGCGCTATGACACCCTGAATATCATTGTCCTCTTTTGAAAAATGAGATTAATAAAACCTACTTTACTGGCTTGTTGTGAGGAATGGAGGCCCTGAGCTGAGGTGCCTAGAACAGAGGGGATGTTCATAAAATAATGTTAGTAGCAAGTAATCTCATGCTATTTTAGAAACGATAAAAGTCTGACCACATATAATATCAGTGTTTTCTCTAGATATGACACTTGTTGATGTATTTGAGTAAGTACACACTAATTCTTATTTTTCTGGACAAAAGGAGACTATGTCTGGAATATTTTATGTTGAGAAACAGCAGGGGAAAAAGTACATCAGTAGGATTTTACATGTTAGGAAGGAGTGATGTGCTGGAATGAAGAAGCGGATTCCAGTCTCAGGTTCACTGTAATTAGTAGCCACTGCCTTATGCAACTTTGAGGAACTCTTCTGTCTTCATCCATAAAAGGTAGGGGGACGAGTAGAGTGTGTTTAGAGCCCTCTTCACCCCTTTATTCCTTCATTATCCAAATGAAGCATGCTTCTCCTTACATTTATTTCTCAATTTTGCTGGGAGTGGGTAACTTAGAAAGCTTTTACTTCAAACATGGCTACTGTATGTTTTCTGGCTTTGAGATGGCTTAAAAATGTTAAATCTGGAGAAAATCCAAATTTTAAGGCTTTAAGTAAATATATATGTTGTGTATATCATATATAGATGAATATGTGCACACCGTGTCAGGTGGTAATAAGGGTCAGGAAAAAAAGAGCTCGTTTTAGAGGATTAGAAAACGAGAGGATGGAAGGCAGCATTGCTTTTTGGGGTTTCTTTGGTTTTGAGGGTTTTTTTTAAGGAAGAAGAAAGGTAAATCTTTCCAAACGGGTAAGTTTTGAGGAGTGTGTTAAAAAATATAGGAGAGCTCTGAGCTATGGAGAAGACTTTTGCAGCAGAAGAAAAATATCTGCCAAGACCTTGAACGTAGAATCTGTTGTTTGTGGTATGACCGCCCCATTTTACTCTAAGATAAGAGGTCACTGAGAGGTTTCAGGCAGAGAAATTATATGACACTGAGTTACATTTTAAGAGGCACTTTGGCTGTTGCTGGGTGGTGTTAATGCCCCATTGGACTCTGTGATCCTATTGTAAGGAAGAAACTTAAGAAAGTAAAAGAATTCAGTACAAATTTTTCTTTTTCTTTTTTCTTTGTTTTCTTCCTCTGAATTTTATTTGGGATTCTTGAAGGAATGTAACATTGTAGAATGGTGCTAGGAGAACCTCACTTTACATTGTAATTAGGTTGCTATGGCAGCAAAGCTCTCTAAATTAAGGACTTCACTCAAATTATCTGGCATAACTAAACTGGCCTGTCAGAACCTGAATCCGTTGTCTTTGCCTTGGCTTTTCCTTTAGTGATTGCTGGACTATTCTTGGAAGCCAGCTCTTCTCATTACCAGCTATTAAAACAACCAATTCACAACCAGCAATCCTTATAGCACCTTTCAGTGACTGCCCAGAGACTCTTAAAATGACAATGTTCTCAATCAACAGATGTTTATTTTGCCTTATTCACACCCCTGGCCAGGGTCCACACTTTGAAGAGATTCCTTCCAGGAACTAGGTAAAGGAATAAGAAGTGGGAAAGCTTAGTTACAGTAAGGACAGTTCATTAAGCCTCAAAAGGATTATGGACAAGGGATCTCAATAATTATTTTATGTTGTCAGAGCAAAGCAAAAAAAAAAAAAGGGGGGGGGTAATTTTGGTTGAAAATGTTACTTATTTCAAGGAGACAGGAAATTACACTAACAGATTAAAGCACGTGGCCTTATGGGCATGAGCATTTACTTGGTCCTCAGGTAAAAAGTCTATACATTCTGTAGCCAGTGAGGAAATGGACTCAGGAAAGAGCCACTTGCCCAACTTCCCAAACCCCATAAATGACACATCAAGGGTTCCAGACTAAGCATGACTGCGCATCCCATTCTCCCTCCTGCAAGTGGAAAATGAAGTTTGAGGTAGACTCATTCTATCAAAAATCTTGCAAGTCAGCTTGATCCCAGTTCTGCCTCTATCCCATGTCGGCAGCTTTCAGCCCCCTCACAGCCCCAGTGCTCAGACATAAGGACAGTTCTCTTTTGGACGTAAGGACAGTTTCTTTTCTTTTTCCATTTTTTATTTCGCAGGCAAAAGGGAATGCAAAGAGATAGATTCTTTGAAACATTTCAATTTGCAAAAAAGTGTCTTATGTTAATTATACTTGATATTTAAAACAGATAAGGTAGATTTCCCCTTTCAAACCTTTCAAAAATGATAAAAGCTTTTTAGATAAGTGATTGTGTTACTTTTGAATGGGTTACATTTACATAGATGAAGGTTGCCACATCTATTTATTTTCACTTTCCTTTTTTTTTAAGATTTTGTTTATTTATTCATAAGAGACACAGACAGAGGCAGAGACACAGGCAGAGGGAGAAGGAGGCTCCAAGCAGGGAGCCTGATGCGGAACTCGATCTCAGGACCCCGGGGTCACAACCTGAGCCCAAGGCAGATGCTCAACCACTGAGCAACCCAGGTGCCCCTGTTTTTTCACTTTTCTATCTGGAAGGAAAGAACAAAGGCAGCCTCAGTGTGTGTGTGTGTGTGTGTGTGTGTGTGTGTGTGTGTGTGTGTTAGAGAGAGGGAGAGACAGAGAAGAATAAGACAGAAAAAACTCTGGTTTTTATTTTTCCTCTCAATGCTTTTACATTTCAGAAAGCAAATACTCAAAGTTTGTTGACTTTACTTAGCGAGAAGCTCTCCATCTCCATGCATTTATCTCTGGATCGCTTCATATAGTACAATTGCAAGTTTTTGTTGTTTCCCTTGTGGGTTTTTTTTTTTGGGGGGGTGTTGTTTTGGGTTTTTTGGTTTTTTTTTTGTTTGTTTGTTTGCCTGTTTTTGTTTTTTGTTTCTTTGGTGCTGCTGACATTTGGAGACTTTGGAAGAATTCTTTTAATACTTTTAAAGTTTATTTTATGTGTAATTTTTGCTTCCTCAAGGTCTTTTATTGTAAACATTTCCAATGTGTCTTTCTATAAAGGTGAGAAAAGCATAAATACAAGATTCTTTTCTAATACCTTTTCATTTTTAATATCACACAAGTTATAAAAGATTACTTTTTAAATATTTTCACCTTGATGGTTTTATTTTTTTACATTTTTCTGTATTTGGAAATGGATCACAAAAGTACTTCATTACATCTGGAACGTCAAGAATGTCTAGAAACATCAGAAAATTGAACTTTTTCTTTTTGTGATGAAATCATCAATATTAGAGAAAGCTGGCTATCATTCAAAATTGAAACATACATCATTTTATAGTGTCATTTCAAAGATACTGCTATTTTTATAACAGATTTTTGAGAAGTTAGGACTTGATTTACTACATAAATTGAAAAGACATAATAGTAATTTAAAAAAATAATATGACTTGAAAATTACTAAAAGTTATTGGTATATTGGGCACATACATAAGTCTGATTTTCAAATGAAACCTTTCAATCTAAAAAAAAAATATGCCTAATGGACATCAATATTAAAAAGGAAACGGGTATCTTTTTAGAGAGTACAACTTTAAAGTTGCCAATATTTTATATGTTGAATTCAGCTTTATTTTAACTCATGGGCTACATAAATTTCATCTTCTCTCATGAACTATACCAAACTACTAACAAATTCCTTTGTTTCCTCCTTACACATATAATGTCTATTCTGTAGATACAAAAATATGTTTTAATGTTAAAAACATTAAGAGCATTAAAAAAATTTTTAAAGACATTTAAAATCCACATCTAATTGAAGTGAGCAACGCCCACTCTTTATTACATGAACAATTGCCAAGACTCTTTACTCCATTTGGCTAAAACACCTGGCTTTAAAGACTCATTTTGTTCTAGAGAGGAAGAAAAATATCTTTTGGAATTGTAACAAGATCCTATTATAGGAAGAAACATTTAGGTCAAGCTGACACAAATAACAAAATAAATGTTTTATAAAGAAAAACTGGTACTTACAAGTTGGAGCTTTGGAGGAACCCAGTTCTTTTTATAAAATGCTTTATGATAAAAATTTGCTAGCATGAGAGAGTTCCAATCAGAGTTCCATAATAAGAAAGCTACTAATAGATCACATTAACTCATATGTCCTCCTTTACTTCCTCTCTGGTCCTTTATAGATGAAAACACAGGGGAAAAAAGCTGGGTTTTTTTTTTTGGATACCATGATAAAAGTTCTGAGAGAAACTCGAGACAACAAATAACAGATGGGTCCTTTTCTGTTTCCTGCTTCATGGGTGCCACCCCTGCTACAGGAATGTTGCTAAATAAATACTGTACTAGAAAGTCAATTCAGACAGGCAAGCCCCAGCTATACTGTCAGATGTGTATAAGGAGAAAAAACTTCTCTTATAGATCAGTCAATAAGAAAAAGTTACTGGTTTTCACCAAAAAGTCTTTATAATGATCAGTAATAGGAAATCAAAACCAAACAACAAGGAGAAAGTTCTAAGTTTGGAGGCACAAGTTTCTTATGAAATATATTTGATGTCTACTAAAATGTATTTATAGTTCATAATCCATGGGAAACTCCCATTTTCCCCATTCCTCTTTCCCTGTTTCTTGACACTCTTCTACCTGTTTGGTTTTATGTTTCTTTTTAAAAAAAGTTTATTTGACAATCAGTTATTAAGACTTACCTACTTTTCCACAATACTAAGTGAATTACACTTGTCCTAATGCACTAGCTCAAACATAACTGTGTTATCTCATGTTCAGCCCTACCACAGTGTTGCAATCAGAAGAAATAAGAATCTAAAATTCCAGGAAGGGTTAAAAAAATAAAAAGAAAATAAAATAGGAGGAAGGTTTGAAAATAAATTTAAATCTTTCCTGAAGTCTTTCAAACAGCTAATGTTATAGGACCAGACAGTCTAAAGATTGATTCTTTTATTCAAGCTTCCCAATCCTCCCTCATGCTAGCTGTTTCCCTACCCCCTCCCCAAACCCTTCTCTTTCTCAGAAGCACGCTAAAAACTTACTCTAGCCCATACTGGATCTCCTATATGCTTCTCTTGACTTCTTTTCTCATTATCCAAATCTTTTATTTTCTTCTGGGGACTAACCCTTTCTGTTTCAACATGAATACATTTAATTCTTTGGATTCCTTCCAATTTTTCTGCTTTTTTAGCATATTCTGAGAAGAACACAAACACTTGAGACCTGACTAGGTAAACCTAGAATATACCTTAGATGTTAAGGTGGGGGAGAAAACCTGAGAATATTTATGTTAATATTTGTGCATCCATCACATATATAAATAATCAGTTTTTAAGAATCCTTTTCAAGCCATTGGAAGGTGAAAGTCAAATAAACAGTGTTGTACCAAAGATAATTTGTTAGTTTTGGTAAATGAACCACGGTTATGGAAAATGTGAACTCTAGAGGAAGCTCGTTGAAAGGTGTACAGGAATCTCTGTATTATCTTTACAACTGTTTTGTATCTAAAATAACGTCAAAATAGGAAGTTTAAATACGTTAACATTTCCCATAACCGTGATTAATGTGAAAGATCCTTAATATACTAGTGTACAGTGTGAGTGTCCAAGAAGGGAATCTAACACATGTTGACCAGAAGTATTTTGGCATGAAATTTTTTTTCCTCCAAGAATATCATGGAACTAGAGATCCCCAGAACATCCTTCAGGAAATGCTGCCCTAAGATTCTATGACACAAATATCTGCATCTCCTCATTTGTGAACTCCAGATGCCTATATTCAATTGTCCAATGGAAATGGCCATTTGTATGAAAAGAGCCTAGCCTACTGCCCGACATGTGGCATACTCTTCTTTTTCAATCCAGATCCAGTCTCCACCATGACCTTTATGAGCTGTGCTAACTAGGCCCCTTGCCCTCCAGATTCAGGTTATTTTTGGCTTATAAGAGGAACATCAAGAGGAAATAGAGCAGGAAAAAGGGAGTTATTTTCCAATTCCCTACCAGGTTCATTGAGGATATTACGCACACCATTTTACAGAGTTTTGATGATATATCTTCCTGAGGAAGGACATACCTTTGACCAGACATCTTTTAGAGTTAAAAGACTTTTGGCTTTGTAAACCATTCCATTTCCCTACCTCTTCAGGTTTAGGACCAATAAAAGCTCCCTGTTTTTGCTATCCCTGGGATGCTTCACCGTAACTCTGCACAAACCTTTATAAATACTACATTCATTCAACAGTCTTAATTACCCATTTTCATGTGCCAGGGACCCTGAAACACTCAGCAAGCCCCAAACTAAACTCATTATCATCTCCCCAAACATTTTCTTATTCTTAATGCCATACATTTACTTAGGTCAGATAAGATTTTAGCAATTACACTCAGCCCTAACACTTAATAGCCAACCTAAGAAAATGGAAATAGACTAAACCTGGATACGAGACACCTTGGATATGAGCTTCCAATTCCAATTCCAGCTAACCCTTAACAACACAGGTTTGAACTGCATGGGTCCATTTACATGTGGATTTTTTAAAAAAAATAAATCCAGTATAGTACTATAAATGTATTTTCTTTCATGATTTTCTTATTAATATATTTCTTTCCTCTAGTTTACTTTAAGAATACAGAGTATAATACATATAAAATATGCCTTATCAACTATTTATGTATTGATAAGGCTTCTAGTCAACGGTAGGCTATTGATACTTAAGTTTTCACAAAGTCAAGTTACATATAGATTTTTGACTACAAGAGGGAAGACAGTTCCCCTGACCTCCACATTGTTTGAAGGTCAACTGTTTATCACTATTATAGATATATTCTCTTAGATAATTTACTTGATTTCTCTAAATTCTAAAATGATGTGAAATCATATTCACTGCCTAAAGTTGTTTTGAGGAAAAGTAGGATTATTTAAAAAAAAAAAAAAGTAGCGTAATTTTTCCCCATGAGAAGTAGCCTCCTATAATTATCTCATCTCCAGACCCTCAATTGTCACCCCTCAGCCATTCATACTTTCTATAGCTGATACAATAATCTAGAATGCAAATCTGATCATACTTTTCCTTTGCTCAATTGCTTTAGTAAGCTCATGCAGTCCATGAGGAGGTGTAAAATCTTTAGCTGTGTGTGCAAAACTCTTCAGGATATGACCCAAGCCCTGTATTAAGAAATTATCAAGAGTTTCACATATAGTGACTAATGTAATTAGTGCAGTTACCTTATTATCTTCTATAGAGAACAATGAAAGAAGTACCATAAAATTTAATGATTTATTATATACACAGAGAACTTTCATGATTAAAAAATGATAATAATAATAATAGCAATTAATAGTTGAGTACATAACTATTCTAGAAAATTTAAGTTGGACTCCCTCTAGAGCTGTCTGCTCCTCCCCACTCACCCCACTTGGGCTTTCCCTCTCTCTCAAATAAATAAATAAAGAGATAAATAAATAAATAAATTCTTCAATAAAAAAAGGGAAAATGTGCTAAGTCATATATATGATTTCATTCAATTGTGTTAGCAACT